AGAAAGAGAGAGAGGGGAGAGGAAAGGGAAAGGAGAGAGAGAGAGAGAAAGAGGAAAGAGAGGGAGAGGAAAGAGGCATAAAATAATTCATTTGCATTTAATTGTAATGGTTCAAAGAATGTTCGGAAAAATGTTCGGCCCTCCAGCACGTTCACTTCATCCAATCTGGCCCTCTTTGAAAAAAGTTTGGACACCCCTGACCTAGAGCCTTTGGTATGTAGATTTCTATGAATTATGAAGCAGATCAATTAAAAATGGGGGTTGCAGTCTTTTAAAATGCTTGTCTTTTCCCTTATGGTACATGATGAAATCAAAATATTTTTTGTTGTTTAAGATTCAGGCTAATAAGAAAGCTGAATCACTGTGAAAATATGCCTTTGAGGTAATTAAGTATAGTTAAACATTTTTAACTATCTAACGATTAAGGAATTGCAAATTGTAAAAAGAGAAAAAAGTATAGTAAAACATAGTTGAACTTGCAACAGTGTGCTGTGCAAATGAATATCCTGAGTTTACTAATTATTTTAGTATTTTACATTTGGAACTTTAAAAGTCCTACTAAGCTAAGGCTTTTGTCCATGACCACATTAAGGACTTTGGTCTATATCAGGGCTTTTCATCCTTTTCACCCATTGTACCACTTTTAGGATATGGCAATATCCGAGTACCACCAGTCGCCCAGCAAGGTGTCAAAAACTTGATGACCCCCCCCCCAAAAAAGGAAAAAAGTGATAAAGTACAGGTAGCCATCAACTTAAAACAGTTCGCTTAGTGACTGTTCGAAGTTACAGTGGCACTGAAAAAAGTGCCCCCCAAGCCACAGCTGAGCAAGACACCTGCCTGCCCACCCGGCGACGCTCTTCCTCCTGTCTGAGGTTTCCATTTCTGCTGAGGAGCATTTCTGCTGAGGATTGGCAGTGGGGGTGGGGTGAGGGGGTGTTTGGTTTTTATTCCCCCCGTCTGCTGGGTGGTTGCAGCAGGTTTTGGTCACTTCACATGACCCTGGGACACTGTGACCGTCATAAATATGAATCAGTTGCCAAGCATCTGAATGTAAATCACAAGACCCTGGAGATGCTGAAACATTACAGCTGATTGGCGCTTCTGGGCTCAGCAGAAGCGCCAGGATCAGCGCCGAGCTATAGCTGGAGCCTGGCGCTGATCCTGGCGCTTCCACTGAGCCCTGACAGCCCTGCAGCTCCAGCTGTCTCTCGCTCAGGCTTGTGCGGTGCTGCCACCGGTTCAGATCATTCCCCTCCCCCGCTACCACTTTTCTAGGATGGTCGCGTACCACCTGCCAGGTGCCAATGTACCACAGGTGGTACCCGTACCACTGGTTGAAAAGCCCTGTTCTATATGAGGCAAATTAGGAAGCATTGCTTTCACCTCCATATTGTGTGAATAAATGCAGTCCATGCTGGCTGAAACACTCAGCCAATTCTTCATACCTCACCTTAGATGGCATGACTTCAGGCCTGCTCACTTTCTCAGGATGGGAAATGTGTGAAACAGTTAATAAACCTGCATCTCTGAAGATTCTCAAAGTGAAACACCTTCAAGGGTAATTGTGTCAAATTCTGGCTGCTCAGTATCTGTGTCCCTTGAAAGTACGGTATCTTATTTCAGGCTGAGTGCACACACAATAAGTTGTAATCACAAGTAGAGAGTGCTACAAATAGAGTAGCAAGTAACCATACACAAGGCAGACAGAAAGCTATGAGAAATATAGATTCAGGTTTAGAGATTGAAACATAGAATCCAGAATGTCAACCAGCCAGCCAGCCAGATCAAAGAATCAAGGTTCAGATAATAAGGAAGAACACATGAGAAAAGACGACAGATTCAGGGTTGGTATGGTTATTGTTAAAAGAGACTGGTAGCTGCTCTGATGTAGTTCATCGCAGATGGCTCAGTTATAGGCAATTTCCTAGAGGTCATCTCAGGGTTGTCAGTGAAGTTTCCTAGATTTATGGTTCTCAGTGACCTCAATCTGCCTTCCCTGGGTTTGGTCTGAGAAGCAATTCAAGAGTTCATGACCACCATGACAGCCATGTCCCTATTCCAGATTATCACTGGTTTGACTTGGGACAGTAGTCACAAGCCACACCTGATATTCTTATTGGAGCAATGTCAATGTGATCTGGTGGGGAATCTAGCATTATCCCCCCGTTATGGTCAGATCATGCCCTCATGTTCTTGAGGCTCTCTTAAACCATCCTACTCTGCAGGGAAACTGGACTCATTTGTATGGTCTGCCCCCAGAGACTGATGGACCCAAATGGGTTCCAGAAGGAACTGGAGGATATCCCAAAGGCTTTGCTGCACGGCCTGGCCAAAGTCTTAGTAACAGCTTGGAAACAAAAGGCCGTTGAGGCTCTGGACAGGTTTGTGTCTATGGGGGCCTCTCTTAGCCTATTACTCCCGTCTTTCACCATGGTTCACAGAGGAACTGAGGGTTTTGAAACAGGTTAAGTGACGCCTATGCACTGCTGGATAAAAATAAAGGATGATTTTTAAAATGTATTATTTAGCGCAGAGGTCCCCAATCTTTTGGGCACCAGGGACCGGTTACGTGAAGGGAGGTTTTTCCGTGGACCGGGTATGTGTGGTTTTGTGTGCTGCCTGCACCCCGCAGATGGGGCTTTGCTTGTTTGTGCGGACCAGTTGCTGGCATGCCGTGGCCCAG